AATGAGTGCCTCCCACTTGATTGCCTCAGTCAGATTTCTTTGTTTATAAACCTTAAGAATTACAATTGAAGTGCACAGGGATTTGGTGGACATTGGGAATTACTATATTGGAAAAGTATTTAAACTTAGGAGATCATGACTAGAAGATGAGCATGTATTTAAATGTTGGTAAAAATTAGACATTCCTTATGATATAATATGAGGACTCAAAAATGCCTGAAAAATTAATGTAATTTAAAATGTACTCCAAGATCTTGTGACTTGGAAGATTTTCATAGCATGAGGGTAAAACTTTGAATGGCTTATTGTACCAAAACCAGTCACCTGATTCCTGTGTTGTCAGATGTGAACTTTACTCAAGTTTGACTGATTTTATAAGAAATCATCCAAACCCAGTATTTATGTTCCTTGATTGCAGGATGGAAAATTCAGAGACCAATCCTCCATCGAGGCCCCTGGCAGTGCCGGACAGAGGCATGTTGCGACCCTCCGCCCCGCTCGGTCAGATGTCAGAGTCACCCAGGGCCTCTAAGCACAGGGAGCACTCGTCCAAGTCACCAAGGAAACGACGGGATGGGAAGAGGTCGCAGCGACGGGGGGGCGATCATGAACAGCTGCTGTGGGAGATTGAGCGCCGGAGGTTGCCAGGCCAACACGAGCACTTGGAGCCCTGCAGTTCAGCAAGCGACACAGCGGAAAGTTCTCCTAAGAGGTTTGCACTGCAGGTTGCCAGCTGGTCCTTCGTGCCACTGGCACAGCTCTGCTGCTTGGGACGTGAGGTGATGTTCTCTTGACTCCACTGTCTTTCCTTCTCACAGAAGAGCCCACTTTCTACATGGACCGTATCCAGCCACTCACTTCGGACCCAAAGCCTGCATTCTTCCCAACCCAACTTCAGTCATGTAAGCATGAGGGTGCTGAATGAGTCGGACTTTGTGTGTGTTAGGACATTGACACAGATGAGTTTGTGTAACTGAATGAGATAAGATAAATTTAGAATGCTGTGATTGGATATTACCTGAGATGGGAAGGCTTACAAAGTGGGCTACAGATAGTGATCGTCACCTGATCGTAAAGAGTTTCTTTGGCCTTGATTTGTGAACACGCATACAGACAGATTTACCTGCACAATGCCTGTTATCCGCCACACAAAGAAGAAGGGAGATAAAAGGTAAAGGGACAAGGAAAAGAGCATTTTATATATTCTTGTGTTTGGAATTTGACCCCAGCCTGTACAGACATGACCTCAACGTGACCGAGTCATTCATCACGGTTAATGAATGACTCGGCTCCTTGAGAATATTGAATCATATTTATTTAATTGAGAAGACATGGTATCAGTCGGATTTACTTCATTTGATGTCTGTCAGGATCAAAAGCAGACTGACCTAAACTATCAATACAATGTGGTAAGGTTACGTTAAACTCATTTAAATATATTATATGTGATCATTTCTTCTTTTTTGTGTGTGTTTTATAACCTGCCGCGGAGAGACGGTGTTTGTAGTTTTAGATGTTTGTTTATTCACTTGTTTCTCTATGTCTGTGTCCGTGTCCCAGGCACATCCAAGACCCGGCCAGCCAGAGGCTCACCTGGAACAAACCTCCAGTGAATGTGCTCGTCATCAGGAAAATCAGAGATGAGAGCCTGGCTGAACCTTTCAAAGAGCTCTGCAGGTTTCTAGTAGAGGTACCGGACCCAGCGTTTATAGTGTCATACAGTTGATAATGTACTGCACTCCCATTTTCCACAACAATAAAACTACTGACACTGATTATGTTATTACCGTGTCTGCTGTTAAGAGTATGTTAGTCAGGCAGCGATCAGACAGTTTTCAAAGTTCATGTGTCAGCGAGATAAAAGCTTCGATGCTAGGCTGCTGAGTTAGAGCATCCCCAAAATGGCAGGTGTTTTGTGGCAGTTTGAGTTAAGGGTCTACAGGTGACCTGGGGCAAAAAGGACAAAGGCACCCGAAGCTTACTAATGTTTGTGGTCAGGGAAAGCTTGCCTGCATGGTCCAGCCCTACACAAGAGCTGCTAAAGAACAAATTAATACTGACGGATCACACAGGGCGGCGCAGACTGCTCTGAGTGCCACGAAAGAAGGTGGCCTGGTCTGATTAAATTATCTTTTATATCCAGCGGACACTACCATGTGTCTGTGTTTTACCAGGACAACAGACTGTGTTTGTTTGTTTTTCTTTCAGAGAAGACAGACTTTTTTTTTTTTTAACAACAAGTATCTCCAAAATTGGGCAACATACATAAATTAATAACAAAAAATAGGCCAGAACAAAAGTAGAGTTTGGGCTGAGTCGTCTCTTTAAAAGTGATTTCACTTCAGTTTTGTCTGTTGGCGTGTTGTAAACTTCACCCATGTACCTACTGAGAAACATGGCAAAGAACCAAGTGTACACTGACACACTTGTAGACCTTAAGAGCAACAAATAATCATAAAGAAGAATGCAGGAAAGAGTCCAGACATGTAAGTTATAGTCTGGTTTCAAGGAGTTACAACACCTTGTGACCAGATGTTTGTTTTCAAAAAACAAAAAAAACAAGCTGTACTTTGTGAAACCAGACGGTCGGTGTTGGACAGTGAATCCACATATTTGCATTCCATACAGATGCTATCACTAAGCTAGCTACATGTGTTTGGCACATGTTTAACGTTATTTTGAAAGGCTTACACTTAAGAGATGTCTGTGTGTGTTTTGGCTGTTGTTGTGCGTTTTTGTGTCAGGAGAAGCAGATGATGGTGTACGTGGAGCGCAGGGTCGCAGATGACGCCACGCTGTCGAAGGACGAGGCGTTCGGCTCAATCCGTAATCAGCTCTGCACCTTCAGAGAGGGTGAGACCCAAAGCAACACAAAACTTGACCATTAGAAGACCAGATATTTGTGTTTAGTAAAAGGTGTATTCTTTTGATGTTTATTCTTCAGTAAAAGTGTAAAAATGGCAAAGATGAAGTGTTGAATTATTGATTATGTTAGCCTAAGCGCTATTCTATTTCTACTCTTAAGATGACCACATCAGCAATGCAAAGAACTTGCTGAACTTACAGTTTTCCTTTCAGAATGATTACATATTTAAAATTATTTTCATTCATTTTTCATTATTTCCTGTGTTTCTGTTTAAAAAAAAAAAAAGGGTACTGGAGATGTGTTAAAAAAAAAAACATGTATAACAATGTGTTATTTCTATTGCATTTCATCTTCTTTTTATAGTATAACTAAATGATCTTTATTAATAAAGTCATCCTTCAAACTAAGATAAAGAGCAGCTTTGCTAAATTTTCTTTCCTGATCTGTTTTTTGTTGGGTTTATTAAATTATTGTTTCCATTAACTACATTAGCTACAGCCGAAGTAGTGTTGTCAGTGTTGGGTTTTTCTGTTTATTTGTGCTTTGCATCTTTTCGTTCCTATAGCTCTTTAGTCTCATTGTCCCTACTTCATGTAGGTTTTTATCTGAAAGACCTGCCCAGGGTGTACCCCACCTCTTGCCCTGTGACAGCTATGATAGGCTCCAGCGCTCGGATCTTATATTATAGTACTTTAAAGGATGTGTCGTTGTTTGTTGAAATAAGCGTGTTCAGTTTGAAGAGTTGCTATCAGAGAGAGGATGTTGCATGTTTAAACCACTGCTCTGTTTTCCTAGTTAATGTTGTGTTGGATCAGTACCTCACTACATATGGTGGCTGTTTCCTTGTCATTCATGTTATTGGATGCTCCCATGCAGCATTTTTTCCCACTGTGTTTTTCTATTAAAAACACTTAAACTGCCATTAATGAAATATTCTGACAATCTGTGTTGTGACTGTTATAAAGTAGTGCAAAAGGTGAAACTTTAATAAGGGATCCTGAGTATTGAGTAAATATGATGAAAGATGTTGGCAGTGTCTGATGAGGGGGAAATCTTTTAATGGCTCGTGCTTGAAGTAACATTGTTGTATTTTTTTAAGCACTTACTTTGTGTGACGTCAGGTTACGATGATATATCCGACTGCATCGATCTCATCATTTGTCTGGGTGGCGACGGGACTTTGCTTTACGCCTCTTCGCTCTTCCAGGTATTGTGATTTTTTATTATTATTTTTTTTTTCTTCTAAATGTCAGAAAACCTTATTGATGTTAGCCAAGACCTTTGTAGCGGTGACATAAAAGAAAAAAAAAGCGAGTTTTACATTTTCCACTGTTTCTATTTTAATGTAGCGTTTTTAACCCTGGTGAGTAATTTATGACTGGTGCTCCTTCATGTTACAGACTCAGAATAGCAAAATGAATCACATCAAAGACACACTGTGTTTTAGAAGTTGCCGTGTGTGTAATATTATAACAGATGTTCATTTTGCATTGTAATTGCATTATAACCATAACAAATCTTTCAGATTCCTTCTCTTCTGAATTAATGTTTGTTTAAAATATAAAAAGAAATGCTTGGACTTGAATATTTAATTACACTTTTCCTGTAGATGAGCTTTTCAAAGTATAGGTTGGCTCATTTCTATTGTTCTGAGTTGGTTTTAATTTTTACATAATGACGTGCCTTCTCTTTTCCGCAGGGAAGTGTCCCTCCAGTCATGGCATTCCACCTTGGCTCTCTGGGCTTTCTGACACCGTTCAAGTTTGAGTCATACAAGACTGAAGTAGCCAAAGTGTTTGAAGGTAAACTGCAGCTCTTTCTGGATAATAATAGTTTCATTGGAAACTTTTTACCTGATCGGACTGATCGGACTTTCAGGCAACGCAGCAATCACTCTGCGCAGTCGTCTGAAGGTGAAGGTGGTGAAGGACATGCTTCAGAGAACAGGAGAGCAGCCGTACAGCGGAGGGCCACAACAACAGCCGGAGCACAATGGACTCCTTCCTCATGGACACACCAACACTGATGCTGGCAGGGTCACCCTGCAGCTACAGGTTTGTTAAAATGGTCAGTGAGAATATCAGCTGCTGGACTGTTTACGCCCCAAAAATAAGCTTGTTGGCTTTTGTGTTCTTGTTTAGAAGCTGAGGTGGATTGTACGTCATTCTGATGATCAGATCATCAGATTAATGGTTGGACAATTCTCAAGATAAACATAAATGTTGATTACAGGCTGGAACTTGTTCATGATTTGGAAGAACAATTTTAGGAATTTAGTAGGTGGATAGAATGAGCTTTTCTGTTCTTATGAAGCACTCAGTTCCTACACCACAGGTCACATTTACCCATTCACAGTCAACCCTTATGGGGTTTCTGGTGTGAAGAAAGTGTGAAGCTGTCAAGCAACAGATGAAATTCTTGTGGCTAGCTTGAAGACAAAATGCCAAACGCATGGCTGATGCAAACTTTTATTCACGCGGTTATCAGTGCCATTAAATGATAAATTAGAATATTATAATGAGGGCAAGGGTTACAAACCTTCATTGAACGACCTAACAGTTTGATGTCAAAGAGAGTGAAAAAACAGTGTCAGGGCAGGAGAGAAGCATCTGTTAATTAGCTGATTGCTTCGTTGCGTCCCTCAGCTGTTTGTGTACTTTGGAGACAGATGCGCTGAGTTTTCAGTTTACTTTTTCACAGTCATGGCTCCTTTGAATTTATCAGGGTGTCTGTGAGTCTCAAAATGTCTTAAATATACAATTACCAGTAAAAGCCCTTAAATGTATTTCCAGTATGCTGTTTACACACTTTTATAACTCAGTGTGACTGCATCTTTAATGCTGCACTTGATAGTTTGACTAACCTTTTCAGGCAGGTTTTACCTGTGTAAAAGGCTGATAAAATACTTTATCTAACTGAACACACACTTGAAAGAAATCTTAAAACACAAAAACCACCTAAGGTTTTTGTGGGAAACCCTGAAGATGATGATGATGATAGGGTTACCAGCCAATCAGCCTGCAAAAAAACAACAGTATGTTGAAGGATTTCAAAATTAGTCTTACATTTTCAGAAGTCCTATGTATGAAAATGAATTCTTAAACAGTACTTTTGTTAAACCTTTTAAGTTAAAACTGAAAGTCTACATTCCAGTCACAACCTGATTATTTGATTTAAAATCCAGTTAACTCTCTAAAAGCCTTAGGTTTAACTTTTGTACCTGAGATCATTGAGATGCCAAGGAAAGCACCACAACCATGTTGCTGTTTCCCTGCGGGTCTCTAAAATGCAGTCCTTTTTAAATCTATCATTTGATTAATCTCTCTGATGTCCTTTAGATTCAGCAGCTGGGACCTCTTAGTTCCCAGTTAAGTTCCTGTGGTTCCATAGTTCCTGTAAATATTTGGGCTCATGGGACTGCAGTTTGGCCTCCTTGTTAATTCCCGATCACACTCCTGCACGCCATTAAGATGATGGAACCTGACTGTGTGTATGTGTGTGTAGTCTAGGGCTCAGTGAGGGATCATCAGCTTGGTTGCCATGGCAACAGTCATAATAAAGCTGCTCGGGAGAGAAATTCGGATGTTATGAATGTTTGTTAAGCCAGTTTCCAAGGATACTGTGGCGTCAACAGTGGAGTCAGTGCCGAATGGACATTTAATGATTCCTGACGTTCTCGGTTTGACACACTGTGTAACTAGCGAACACGACACACACACATAGCCTCTCTCTCTAAGCACAGCCCTCTCCTTAGTCCTCTCACCCCCCTGGAGTTTTTAGGCTCATCGATAAAAGACAGTGACGGATTGTTCTGATCCCTGAGCTTCAGTTTGACCTCACATTACATCATGTCTGCTTGCGCCCAGCAGGATGTTTGCGTTGTGCTCAGCTGACGTCAGTATATCTGCCAGACATCACAGCACGGCGCTGCAGCAGGCTGTGAGACTCACTGAAGTGTGGAACATGATTTGTTTGCAGTCAGTCTGCTTGTACTTTCTTTCTTTCTGTAATGTACTAGTTTATTGTTTTATGGAGTACACTGAGCAGATTTAAGGCTGTCTTCAGGGAACACATGGATATGTTATTCTGTGTTTTACTGCTCAATGGGTGTGGAGTTTCTTTACAATTTACATGACAACCAGTTTGTTTATTAGACCTTCATCTCCAACCAGAGGCTTCCTTTTATTAGATTTGCTTGTTTGAGTGTTTGGTGGAAAAATCAACCAGATATTTTGCTGAAATTTTAGTGCCAACTTAAAAGGACAAACTGATTTAATTTTGTTGTAAATAGCACCACCATGTGGATATTAACAGCATGACACTCTGGCTAGTTCATACAATCTTTTCTGCTGTCTCCATACAGTCCATACAGTTTCCTTGATCTGTAAAATCCCAACCATTGCTACAGTTTTATTTTTTAACTGTGTTTTAGTGATCCCGAGCTAAAGACATTTATTTGCTTTTTCATTTTACTGCACTAAATTCACATTTATAGATAACTGCTCATATTAAGTATGTGTCATTTGGTCAAAAGATGGCACTGCAGTTGCATATTTTGGGTCTTCAGTATTCGGAGAGAGAATTTATATCCTTTCTAAGAACATGGTAGAGTTCCCTAGGCCTTCTGATCTTATCCA